TGAGTTTTCTTTCTCTGGCCACCTCCACCCCTCACTCCAGGTCTGAGTTATGTGACCACGCCAAGTTCACAGTGGCGCCTGGCCCTGTCCCTCTTGATGATATGCTGTAATGTGTATCATGGTATACTGTAACGATTGTCTTGTCACAAAGGCAAAAACCATGTGTCATCTCTGCCATTGCTTGGTGAATGGTGCAGGATCTGGCCATGGTCATTGCTAGAGAAACAGGTGCTGGGTGAAGAAATGAATGACAGTCCTTTCAAGGAACCAAAGGACTCTATTTCTTTTCTTGTCTTCTATGCTTTATTCGAAACTTAATCAAGGTGCTTCGAGTTTGACACCCTTCCTTTAAGTGTGATGCTCACACCTCCTGCAGAACCACCCGGTGGTTGTGTATAAAAAGTGGAACATGGACCCCAACCCAGGCTTCTGCATCAGGCAGAATCTCTTGAGTAGAGACCCAGGAAGCACTCTTAATAATCACTTCATGTAGTTCTTTTCTTATGTGCTACTAAGGTTTAAGAACCACTGCTCTAATGGTAGATAAGATGGATATAATACATTTTAATAAAGTTATAGGGAAAGGCTGTAAAGTTGTACTAAGATTTCTAACTATGGTCAGACTCACTCATCCATGCAATACATATCAACACCTACTATGTGCTAGGCACTCAAGACAGAGTAGTGAGCAAGGCGGACATGGTTTCATGGTGCTTACAGTTAGACAGACTGCAAGTGAATATACATTGTGAATTGTGGTAAGTGTATGAAGGAAGAAATTGACAGCAACATACAGAAGATGAGAAGCCATTTACTCAGGCTGGAAGAATGAGAAGAAAATCATCATGGGCAGAGTTCGGGGTAGAGAATGAGGAGAACAGTACAGAGAGAGGGGCCCCATTTGTGATCGGCTCCTCAAGGAAGAATAGAGCTTGGCCAAACTGAGTGGCTAAGAGGCTGCAGTGAGGGGTCATGATGAGAACTGGACCAGGAGGGAAGCAGACATAGATCAGGAAGTCACACGTGGAGGATCTATGATTTCATACTAAGTATAGAGATTGGGGGTGCAAGGAAGCCTTTGAAATGTGAAACAGGCATCACAGTGCAGTGTGCTTTAGAAGATCTGTCTGCTGCTCTGTGTGGTTCAGAATAAATTGGAGGGAGGACGAGGGTGGAGGCAGAGTGTGGTAAGGGGGTTATTCAATCCAGGTGACAGTGGCCTGCATAGCCAAGAAGTCAGTGGATTCAAGAGGGGGAAAAAGAGTGAATCCTGGCAAGAAATTGGAAGTGGGAGGAGGGCAGTGAAGAGAAGACAGCTGGGTAGACAGTTGGAGACAACCAAAAAGAGAGAGTGTTGCTTTCTAAAGGGGGTGGGTGCTGAAGAAGCCAGAGGTTTCTGTGGTGAAGGCTTGAAAGATGAGTGTTCCCAAGCAGACTAGAATGGCAAGGGGAAGAGAAGGAGAAGGAAGGCATTCCTTGTAGAGGACTCAGCCTGACAAGGCTCAAAGACAAAAAAAAAAGGTGTTGTTCCAATACTGCACAGATCATTGTAGACTTATTATAAATGATTGGTGAACATTTAGTGAGCCTTAGGGGAAGGATATGCACTGTGGTTATATACACAGTAATATGAGTTGTGAATCAAAATGTTTGAGTTGGGCCTCACCACTAAGTTTGCCTCTGTGAGCCTCAGTTTCCTTACCTGTAAAGTGAGAAGAATAATCATATTATCAACCTTTGTGGAGATGCTGTGAGGAACAAATGTGATCGTCCATGCAAAGCATTTGGCACAGTGGCTGATAGCAGTAAGCGCATATGAATGTTTGAGGTGGTGGTTCTGAGGCTCTATGTGCAGTTAATTGAACAGAATATTTGGATTTGGAGTCATAATTCTTGCAAATTATTCTAATTTGCTCATTTTATAGATGAGCAAACTGAGGGCTCAAGTATTCAAGACACATTCAACTTAAATGTGTCAACTTGAATGTGTCAACTTAAATGTGTCAACTTGAATGTGTCTTAAATACTTGAGCCCTCAGTTTGTTCATCTATAAAATGAGCAAATTAGAATAATTACTGGTTTCTAGCTACCTCATAGTTCTGAAATGCTTTGATTCTACTATGTAAGTAGTTACCATCCAAAGAAGACTTACACAATTTCTTATCTACTCAGTTTAAGCAAGAATGACCTTGCCCTTTCACCAAGGATATAATCCCCGAATGAAATCTCTACTAATTATGTAATGAATATTTATGACTTCAGATGTAAAACAACCTATTATTTTTAAAAGATTTAAAAAAAACAACCTTGCTTGCTGGTGTTGTAATAGCTCAGCAGTAGAAAATCAGCATACACTTCTAGTCTAATACCTGAAAAAAATTAGGTCGGTGGACAATAACAACCATTGGCTAAGTATGACCACAGACATGCCTCCTAGTCTAGTATCCATATGTAGGATGTGTGTATGCAGGGGGGGGAGGGGGGAATGACAAGCTAAAAATGGTTATAATGGACTGAGATAATTTGGAGCCTGTTGAGGAGACCATTTTTGTTCTAATTAAAGTAGATTAAAGATGTTTGATACAGTTCGTCCTCTGAAGCTTCTTAAATATGCAGCCGTAGATCAAAGGCCTCAGGTATTTAAAGTGGATGAAGGAAAACATCTAACCACTGTGCTGTACACCTGAGACTAATATAATATTGAATGTCAGCTACAATGGGAAAAAAACTTAAATAAGGTAAAATGGGTGAAGGATTTGAAATCTGTCCTTTTATTTGCTGCAGGAATATAACCAAGATAACCACTCTTTCTTTCAGTGCCTCTTACATGAAGGGCTAAACTTTTTTCTGATGTTAAAGGTGAATGAGAGTTCCAAGCCCAGTGTTGTAGCATAATAACTATAATAGCTAACATTCATTGCATTCTTAAGTGCGCTTTGCAACGAAGTGCTCTGTGAACATTCTCATTTAATCTATCCAACTCAAAGAAGCAATCCTACTTTTATTTTATGGCTAAGGAACCAAGGTTCAAAGAAATGTATAACTTTCTTGAGGTTACCTCGCTAATAAAACCACTAAATGGATGGAATACGCTTGTTACATGGTTTGAAATTATTGAAGCCCACCAGCCAAAGACTCTCCAGAAACACACCTGGGATCAAACAAAATTAGTTTTATTTCACTCATTGTAGTAAGAAAAAAATGCATACCCTTGGAGTCAAGAGGAGGAGAAACGGGGGGCTTAGTGTGGCTCTGGGCTTGTGCTGGGTGGTCTAATAAGGACTTAGGGAAGCGAGGACTGTCCCGTTTTCTTTGGGTGTCCTCAGGAAGCGGATCGATTTGGTGGCTTGGTAATTTTTATCGAGGACGTGAGAAGACTGAATAGAGACTAGATGGACATGTGTCAAGAAGCAAGTTGTTCATCTTAGTTGGAAGGGAGGTTTTTAAGTTATTTTTGTGGTGCCAAAGGGCCTTTTCTCTGTCTTGACGTGATTGCGGATTGTTTCCAAATTGCTCCTCCATGGCCACGGAGTGACCATGTCTGAGAATTGTCTGCGTTCTGCCAAAGTTGTTTGTGCTGAGTTACAAACCCTCAGACGCTGCAGCCTGGCTGGTAACTGTCTGGCTGCTCTTGCTCTTTCTTTCCTCTCACCCCTACCCCCTTGTTATTTCATAGCAACTAGCTAATTTCTTCCCTCTGAAGAATAATCCAACTACCGTTGGGAACCTGTGCTCTCTGGGGGTTAGCACAGGGAAGGTTTACAGATCTGGGGAGACCTCATCTTGAATCCTAGACCAGCCACTTCACTGCCTTTTGACTTTGAGCAAATCACTTCTTTTTTTGGGGGGGAGGGGAGGCCTACCTTTCTTCATCTCTAAAGTATGGGGATGATAATCACCTTGCTGGGTGTTTTGAAAATTAGAGATAATTTACATAAAGTGAATTTACCTAGTCACTTTAGTGACTATTTGAACTATTTGACACACATAGTTCAATCTCAGTAGATAGTGACCAGTATTAAAAAGGCATAAATATTTGTCAAATGTTAATTTGCTTATATTTCTTAATTTCTAACAGCAACAAATATACTTTTTTGTTAAATAAGCTATTAAATTGTAGGTCACAGAAGATAGAAATGTAATTTTTGTATGTTAGTCATATGATGACACTATACTCTCTTTACTTTTTTGTTTTCAAATAGATAACATTGTGCTATTCATTTAACTAATTAAAAATACCAGACCATTTTTAGCTCTCAATGGTTCATTACCTGATACAACTGCATGAGATAGAGGCAAGTATGCTATATTTATAGAATATGCAGAAAAAATGGTTGGCCGAATAGGACTGTAAATAACAATAGAAGATATAGAAAGACTATTTTTATTACATGGGTAGAAAAGGTCTTGTAAAACATTTCCACTGAAAGTTTACTTACTGCACAAGGCCAAGATTAGGGTTAAATTACAGAAGGAATAGTGACTAGAATTAGCTCCATGTTGTGGGTGGGTTTTTTATCTTTGTATATTTCTACATTTTCCACAGAATATTATATTAACGATTAGAAAAAAATGATTTGGCAGAATCAGAAACCACACACACACACACACACACCATTCTATTTAGTCTTCTAAAACCCTGTCTGTTTTCCCTGAAGTTACTAGGCTTCTCAGCTGTCATTGCCAAAATCTTAACACCGTATATGTGTGTATATGCACACACATGTGTACACGTTTCATAAAATATCCATGTGCTAGACATTAAATGGTCTTTGAGATTCTACTTCAGAGTTATCTCAAATGTGTAACTAATGGAAACTAGTAGAATGGTCTATTACAGATGGTCGGGGTGTTGCTGAATAGTGTAGTCTCCTTTACTGTGTCTTTAGTTTTTATGTGGGCCCTAATAACTTCTAGGAGAAATACAATTGAAAAACATTCTAATGACAAAATTATTACAAATGACTCACTTTTTGTGTGTTTCCTTCCCCCCCATTAGAAGTCCGGTCTTCATTTTCGACACACAGATAATACCGTCCAGTGGTTAAGAGCCATGGAGTCTATTGGTCTACCCAAGGTAAGCCTTCAGATAGTGGAACCTGAACCAGAAAGCCAAAGGGGGAAGTGTACGAATTTCTTGTTATAAAAAACTAGAGGCCTGGTGCACGAAATTCATGCACTTGAGGGGGGTGGAGGGGGGGCCCTCAGCCCAACCTGTGCCCTCTCACAGTCCGGGAGCTGTCATCCTTAGTGCTGCTGCGGAGGCGGGAGAGGCTCCTGCCACCACTGCTTGCTCGCTTGCCGTGAGCCTGGCTTCTGGCTGAGCGGCACTCCCCTGTGAAAGTGCACTGACCACCAGAGGGGTAGCTCCTGCGTTGAGTGTCTGCCCCTTGGTGGTCAGTGTGTGTCATAGTGACCGGTCGTTCGCCATTCAGTCAATTTGCATATTAACCTTTATTATATAGGATGATTGGCAGACTGGGTATGTTAATGCAATAGATTGCCTTATTGCCTCAGGAAGGGCTTATACAAAGTAACAAATGGCAAGAACTCAGAATGAAGTAAGTGTACAGGTCAAGAGCAGCCATGCAGAAGTGAATATAAATTAAACAAGGTCAGAACAAACTTTAACTGGTAGATAGTTGATTTAAAATAGCCACCTCCCTTTTGTGTTTGCTATTTATACTTATGATTTCTAATCTCATTGCATCACTACAAATTATTATTACAATTTTATTTTTATAAATTATTGCTACAAATCATTGTATCACTATACATTTTAAAGGCCAGGGGGTTATAACTCTTACTCCTGAAATAGGTCTTTTAAATAAAACTCATTCAGCAAATATTCAGAGCTTGTTAAATTCAAAGGGCAGGCACCCGTCAGCCTGTGCGACAGACAGGCAAGTAGGGGAAATGAAGAAATAATTATATTTGATAGAAATTGTAGAGCTATTTCTTAAACATCTTATTTTGAAATAATTATAGAATCACAGGAAGTTACAAAAATAGTACATCTGCGTGTACTCTTTATTCAGCTTCCTCCAGCAGTGACATCTCATAACTGTAGTAAGTCATAAATTGGCATTGGTGTATTAATGTTAACTAGACTACAAACTCTATTCAGTTTTCACCATTTTATGTGCATTCATGTGTATGTATGTGGGGGGTTCCATTCAGTCCATGAACAGGTGTGTGTGACCATCACCACAATCAAGGTGCAGACCCCACAGAGGAGTGCCCTTTATATTGTGTCCCTCTCCCGCCCAGTCCCCAGGCCACCGCTAATCCATTCTGTCATTTTGACAATGTTATAAAAATGGAATCATACAGCCCTAACCGGTTTGGCTCAGTGGATAGAGCATTGGCCTGTGGACTCAAGGGTCCCAGGTTCGATTCTGGTCAAGGGCATGTCCCTTGGTTGCAGGCACATCCCCAGTAGGGGGTGTGCAGGAGGCAGCTGATCCATGTTTTTATCTCATCGATGTTTCTAACTCTCTATCCCTCTCCCTTCCTCTCTGTAAAAAATCAATAAAATATATTTTTTTAAAATGGAATAATATAGTAGATTACCTGCAGCAATTGCCTTTTTTCATTAAGCATAACGCCATCGCTGCCCTCGAGATCCATCAAGGGGTTTTTTTTGTATTTTTTAAAATACATTTGTATTGATTTCAGAGAGGAAGGGAGAGGGAGAGAGAGATAGAAACATCAATGTTGAGAGAGAATCATTGATCGGCTGCTTCTTGCACGTCCCATACTGGGGATCGAGCCCACAACCTGGGCATGTGCCCTGATGTGGAATCGAACCATGACATCCTGGTTCATAGGTCAATGCTCAACCACTGAGCCATGCTAGCTGGGCCATCAGGTTTTTGTATGTATCGATAGTTCATTCCTTTTGTATTGCTTAGTATGGACAGCTATTTCAAAGAAACTAATTAGGAGTGGTTTAGCTTGAAGACAAATCAGTAGCTACTGAATAATTAAGACCTGTGTTGTTGTTGTTATTATTAATCCAGGTTTGCAATTTTAAAACACAACAACAACAACAACAAAACAAAAGATTCCTTAATGTAAATTATGCTTGGCTATTTTTAATATATTTTTTGCTGATATCTATTTTAGTTCAGCTTATTTCATCTCAAAATAGTCAGTAAGGATTTATTTTATTCTGCCATTTTCATTCTTTTCCCTTCTCCTAAAATGCCCAGAACATTAAATGCCATTCCCTTCTGGGCACTAGTTATAATACAGAATTCATATTTCTAGATTGTGATTTAGCAAGTACTAACTAGGGATTAGGTGTAAACAGATTAATAAAGCAAGAAATTCCAATAGGATTTTTTTCTATGTAAGGCAACATACTTTAGATTAGGGTAATTTCATTATGTTTGATAGATTCGATTTAAACCTTTTTCAATTGTGTATATGTAGGGCCAGGCTTCCCTTGATTTTAAATGGAGCAAGTAATCCACATAGCAGATTCTATTTTTATTTTAGAAGGTTCTATTTTAACACTGATTTTTATTGTGAAGTCATTGATTCATTACATTGCAAGATGAGAAACCAACAGTGTACTGAATGGACTGATGCATTTGCTATTCAATCTTCATTTATCAGAATTAAGTGCTTACTCTGTGCTCAGCATCATGCCAGGTGCTGGGGACACCGTGCTGAATAAAACATTGTGAACCATGAACTGATCCCATCTCCTTGCTTTATAATGACTTTCCAGGAGAAATAAGTAGAAAAGTAATTGTTTAAAGAGATGGGAGGGACAGTTGTTGTCCTCTGCTTACATATAGAACTTTAAACCTGGTCACATTCTCCTGAATCGAGAGTCCTCCTCTCATTGGCACTTTGTTAGCAAATGTGTTAAAAGATAGTTGGAAAGACTTTTGAAATTGCCCAGGCTATAGGCATCTCTTTAAGTGCTCAGTGACTATACATTTGTATCTCAAGAAACTTTGCTTTCTTTCTTTTCTCAGCTTTTTCCAATGTCCAACAGAACATTTCACTTGAGTATCAAATACCACCTATGGTACATGACTTAATTTTTATTCCAAATTTTATAAAATGTTTACTGAAAGCAAGTAATACCAATATGCTTATCTTAATCTTAGAATCTTCGAGCCTCATTATTCATTTTGTAGTGCTTAGGAACAGGTAAGTTTGGTGCCCTATTCTAAAATGTTTCTTATTAAGCTTTTAATTTCCAGCCTAAGAATATTGTAAACAGCCCAGCTGGTATGCCTCAGTGGATTGAGCATCGTCCCATGCATACCTGGGTTGCAGGCTCAATCCCCGGGGGGGTGGGGGGGAGCATGCAGGTGGCAGCCAATCAGTGTTTCTATCTCATGGATGTTTCTATCTCTCTCTCCCTTTTCTTTCCCCTCTCTCTAAAAATCAACTTAAAAAAATTTTTTTAAAGAATAGTGTAAATTGGTTTTAAAAGCCTTAATGTTCTAACCTTTCAATCTAGTAACTTTATATTTAGATGTTTATCTAGAATAGCTAATTAGGTGTTCAGAAAATGCAGGGATGTTCATTGCAGTGACTTATAATAGGGGAAAAATTGGGGACAAAAAAAAAGGTGCAACCATGGGGAACTGGTTAAATAACGGTTAAAATATGAAAGAATCATGCATCCATTAGAAATAATATTCTTACAGAATAAAAAAGGGGTCATGTTCTATTAAGTGTTTTAAACAGGCTATGATATGTGCAGTTTTATTTTGAAATGCATCCATGCAAGCATAAAAATATCAGAGACATATATAGAAAAAGGACTGGAAGGAAGTATCCCCAAATGCTAATAGTGACAGTCTGGAGGTGGGATTATAGGTATTTTTCCTTCATATTTTACCTATTTTCCAGAGTGTATTCAGTGAATATATTACTTTAAGCAGAAAAAAGTATCCATGTATGTATATGCATGTTTATAGAACTAGGTAGCTAAGTTCTTAACAATGTAATAAAATGCTGAAGAAGGACATCCTTCTCAAGCCAGCGGACCTCTGGGCAGTCACAGGAGTGACTCCATTGTAGAAAGCAGAGTCCAGATGGGCTCAAGCCTTGGGAAATGAAACTGCCCCGTAACTAACCATGTGGACACAGCCTTCTTGGAGTGGCCGGCTGGGAACCTCCCACTCCTATCACCCCTACGCACACTCTCCTGAACCACTAGGTGGCGCGCTGTCAGGCAGGGGACCGGATGCAATGATTGGTCCTCCTGTAGAAGAAGATGAAGCAGTAACTAAGAGATTCTTCTGCTTGTAAATAAATACAGAACAGCAAGGACAATCAACGTAGGATCGTTTGGGAGAAGTACAATAATTTTGTGAAAAGCAAAACATAATACAAACATTGTTTCTTTTGTTTTCCAGATATTTTATCCAGAAACAACAGATGTCTATGACCGGAAAAACATACCAAGAATGATCTATTGTATTCACGCACTAAGGTGGGAAAATACAACTAAAAGTCTAGAAAGTAAATTTAAATAAAACTAAAATTTTAATTTTAAAAGAGATCTTAAATTATTTTAATGACTCAAGAACTTTTGCTAGATTGAGTTATTTTAAATTTGCCAGTACAAAATTAAAATAATTGTCATGTGAAAACAGTCTTTGAACTTGAAAAATATTTTGATGATTTTTTAATCTACATCAAAATAGAAAACTAGAAGATGAGTGAAAGACCTATAAGTATAATAAGAAAATTTAAGTAGAAACTTCTAGGAAATCTAATAGAGTGCTACAATATTCTTCAGATATGATGAAGTTTATATAGCAAAAATATATCAAATGAGCAGCTATAATGGTCATAATTTTGGTTTTGATACTCTTAAAATTATTAGTTTGGTTAAATTCTTACCACAGATTAATAAAATTCCATATGATTTTTGTTTGCTTTGTTCAATACCTCTTGTAAGGGTAAAGAAGACACTTAGAAGTTGCTTTAAATTAGTCAAAGGAAGATACATTCATTGTTTTTTTGTGTCCATCTTTGTCTTTTGTTATCTTTGTTATCTTAAAATCTGTTTTGTCAGCTGTAAGTATGGCTACACCTGCTTTTCTGTGGATGTTATTTGGTTGCAGAATAATTTTCTACTCTTTTACTTTGAATCTACCTTTGTCTTTCCAGTTTAGATGTGTCTCTTGTAGGAAGCATATGGTTGGGTTTTGTTTTTTGATCCACTCTGCTACTCTGTGCCACTTCATTGGTGAATTCAGACCATTTACATTTAGGGTAGTTATTGACGTATGAGGATTTCCTATAGCCATTTCATCTTTTGTTTTCTGGTAGCTCTGTGCCTCCATTGGTTCTTTTCCTTTGTGTTCCTGGCTGTTGTTTTTGTTTGGTGGTTTTTATACTTCTTTCCTCTGTTTCCTCTTTTTTTAAAATATGTATCCTGGTTTGGGGATTTTTGTGTGTGGTTACCATTAGGTTTATAAAAAATAAACTTGCATATACATCATAGCTTTTTTTCTTTTGAGTGTATCTGGTCTTCATCTTCCTTTGCCAGTTCAGACCTTTAACCCCTCCCTTTTTATGTTTTGTTGTCACAAATTATTCCTGTTTATGCTGTAAGTTTTAGTGATCTTACTCATAGTGTTGTGATCTTGTATTCTTTGTTTCAGGTATAATAACTCCCTTGAGTATTTTCTACAATGAAGGTTTTCTGATGATAAAAATCCCTCTGTATGTCTGGGAATGTATTTATTTCTCCTTCATATTTAAAGGATAATTTTGCTGGGTATATTACTCGTGGCTGGTAATTTCTCTCTTTCAGATGTTTAAATAATTGGTCCCACTCTCTTCTGGCTTGTAGAGTTTCTGCTGAGAAGTCAGACGATATTCTGATGGGTTTTCCTTTGTAGGTCACTTTTTCCCCCACTGGCTACTTTGAAATTTTTTTCTTTGTCATTAATTTTTAACAGCTTTAATTACAAGTGCCTTGGAGATAGTCTCTTTGAATTGAGGTAACTAGGTGTTCTGTTTGTTTTTTGGATTTGAGGATCTAGTTCTTCCGAAAGGTTTGGGAAGTTCTCATCCACTATGTGTTTGAATAGACTCTCTGTTCCATGCTCCCTCTCCTTCTCCTCCAGAATCCCTATAATTCTAATATTGCTTTTTCTGATGGAGTCAGTTAATTCTCATAGAGCAGTGGTTCTCAACCTTCTGGCCCTTTAAATACAGTTCCTCATGTTGTGACCCAACCATAACATTATTTTCATTGCTACTTCATAACTGTAATGTTGCTACTGTTATGAATCGTAATGTAAATATCTGATATGCAGTATGGTCTTAGGCGACCCCTGTGAAAGGGTCGTTCGACCACCAAAGGGGTCTCGACCCACAGGTTGAGAACCGCTGTCATAGAGCTCTTTCATTTTTTTCTTTTTTTTTTTATACTCAGGTCTCTCTCTTCTTCCCTCTGCATCATTTCAGATTCCTATCTTCAATATCACTCATTCTTTCCTCCATCTGGTTGAATCTGTTTTCTGTGCTCAGTAGTTCACTCATAGTCTCCTTAATTGCATGCTTCATTTCCAGGATTTCTGATTGTTTCTTTTTTAAAGTTTCAATCTCTTTGGTAAAGTACTCGTTTTGTTCATTGATCTGTTTTCTGAGTGTATTGAATTGCTTGTCTGTATTGCATCTTGTTGAGTATTTTCAGAACTACAATCTTGAAATCTCTGTCATTAATATCACATATGTTCCAGCTTGCTTTCTGGAGATTTTTCACTTTCTTTCTGGTCATCCATGTTACTATGGTTATTCATATTATTTGCTGTCCTCCTTTGCTTATGCATTTATTTCTGAAGAGTTCTTTCTACTCATTTCCAGTAGATGGTGCTGAATCACAGGATTTTTTACTCTGTGATCTTCTAATCTCGAATCTCTGGAGCTTCAGGGGTGGGGTTTCTTTTGCCCTCACCATAATGGAGTCCCACCCAAGCCCTCCTCCTGGGGATCAGTCACAGAGGGAACAGCTATTCTATTGCAGCAGCTCTTGGTTTACAGATAATATGCTCCTGGACCCAACTCCAAGGGCAACGGGAGGTGAGTTTTGGAGTCCACATGGAGGCAGGGCTCTGTGGTTTCGTTTCTTTCTCTGAAACACCACCGCCTGGATCGACAGTGGAGAGTTGCATGGCAGAACCTTGTGCTCTGTCAAGCATCTGCTGACTTAGACACTGTTCTCTCCCTTGCCACTTGCCCTGCTGGGCTGCCCCATCCCTGCAGTTCTCTGTTCCTCCTGGCCAAAGGAAGTGCCTGTGACAGCGGCTTTCTCCCCTCTTCCTGCTAAGCCGTGACTCCCAGCTGCAGGGCTGCAGCCCATCTGTGCTTTGCTCCCTTCTCATTTCCCCCTTTATTCCCAGTTGCCCACCTTTAGATGTTTCAATGCACAGGTCTCGCAGGCATGCATCTGTGTTGAGCAGGGATTTCTTTGTTGGATGATAGTTGGTTAACTTGTTGACATTTCAGGGGGAGAGGACAAGGGGCTCTCGCATGCCACCATTCCTATGACGTCACTCTTCCCCATTCGTTGTTTAAAAGCAGTTGTTTGAGAAGTTAATTTTTGAAATGTTGACATTTCTGCTAGGTCACAGATCACTTTTTTATCTTAATGGCCTGGAAGAAATGTGATTTTTACATGGTAGCAAAAATGATTTTAAAAATACATTTTGTGACTGTTGTCTTGTGTGTACACAGGTAAAGGCTGGAAGGCTTCATGTCTAATTAAGTTTTAAATTTCTTTTAGAACATCTGCCTTATGTTTATATCACTAGAAGTCATTTTCCTGGCAGAATCTTCTGCCTAGAGGTTTATATTAACTTCTTCCTGGCTCTTTCCTCTCCAAAGGAAAAGGTTTCTATAATAATTCATTGCAATTCTGGCCTACTAGAGAAGAATTTTAATTATGTCCTATAATTTGACTTTTCCCTGATCACTACTTATGAGATTTCTTTGGAAGATGGCAGTTGCTAGAAATATAGACCAAATGCAGGTGCCTTTTCTATGATTTCTTTTCCTAATAGTTTAAAACTGGGGGGAAAACACTTCTGTGCCTGCTTCCTCATCGGTGGCCAGTGTATCATTATGCCAGCAAGTTTTCTAAAAGCTTTTTTTGCAAAAGTGCTTATTTTGAGGAATATTTTCCAAAGTGTTGTCAACATTTTTTGTCACATATTTTTCAGCACTTAGTATGATCACTTACCACTATGGTTAGTACTGTGTTTGTGGCCTGCTAAGCCAGCCACCATTGGTTAATGTCATTATCATATCCACGCATCATTGTGATGATGTCCAAGTCTGCAGCATGCTCCTGGGGTGTCTTGTAGAAGCTTACATTGATGTCCTGAAGTGGACCCCTGGGGCATTACTGTTAAGCAGCTTGTAAAGAACTGGTGTACTAAGCTCCTTTCTGGTGTTGTCGGTGTTCTACAGAAGTTATGTAGAGCCGCACTGTGGCTGGCAGTGTGTTTGCCATTGTTTTAACGATGGCGCGAACAGTTTGGTAAACAAAGACAGAAGAGCAGCTCCTTCCTTATCATTGCCAGTGGCCTGCTGATGTTGGTGTCATATGTTCTAGGACTGTTTTTCTCTGTTATTCAGTTACTGATCATGGAGTTTCCGTTACGGTTACTTATCCTGGGGCAGATGCCTGTTGAGCCTGTCATTCACCAGGTCTGACGTTACGTAGGATCTTAAAGCAGTATTTACTTGATAAACAGCATTCCCTGGGAGAACCTCCTTTACTTTTCTCAGCTGTAAACTTAATGTCTGGCTGCTTCTTGATATGGCATGCGGAAGTCTCAATTGTATCTGAATTGTTTTTAATCAAACCTTTTTCCTGTGATGGTTGAGAATGCAGTCAGTTACCCAAATGAGGCTGATATTCTGCTCTGTTGGGCAAGACACACTTGGAGGCTGGGCAGCAGAGCCCTTTAATAAGCACCGTGGATTTGCCCTTGCTGCATAATTAGAAGCAATGCTGGGAATGAACATTTATGCCTTCAGCCTTTATGTTCTGGTTATAGATATAACAATATTGCTGGTATAAAGCATTGTTATCTGATAAAAAATTAAACAAGTCAGAAGTTCTGATTATAGATCAGGAGCCAGGCAAGCAGGGCCCCCCAGTACCCAGGCACTGCCTTCCTCTTACCCCAGCCTGTGGGCCTTACTTGATCTCCAAAGTTAGCTCTTGGCCCTGCAAACGTGTCTCTGTCCCTGTCTTTTAGATTACGATCTAACTGCTCATCACGACCCCCTGGCTTCCTGTTTGTATCTGCCTGCCCTTCCTTACCTTCCTACTTTACTTCTGACTCCAGGCTCCTTGCCTGCCACTCATTGTACCTTTTGTCAGTTCAGCTGGGTGACCTGAGTCCAGACACCAGTGAATGTTAGCACAGCAGCCTCAGAGGAAATCCTCAATCTTTGTCTAATGTA